CTCTTTTTGTGTATCTGCATTAGATCATATACCTATGTTAAAATGCACCACAGAAGTATTAGATATTACTTTTATTTTTAGTAGTAGTAGTAGTAGTAGTAGTAGTAGTAGTAGTAGTAGTAGTAGTAGTAGTAGTAGTAGTAGTAGTAGTAGTAGTAGTAGTAGTAGTAATAGTAATAAATTGCTTTATTTGCATGACCGCATCATTTTACAGTATTGCAAAAGCATGTATATGACAATCAAAATATAAAACAAAACATCACTAATAATAATCTAGAAAAATTCGGTTACATTACTAACAATGAATCACGTATTTTCATGCAGGTGGAAACAAACTTCATAACTAACTTATTTACATGATGTTCCTTCGAATTCATTATCAGTTTTATGCTTTCTGGAGATGATTTCTTGTCAAAGTCAGGTATTATTCGATTGATTTCATTAATAAATGCCTGTCTCTGTACTGAGTATTTTTTACATTGAAAGAGGAAATGAATCTCATCTTCTACCTGATTTGAGTTACATAAAGGACATAATTTATTTTCTCTTGGCAAATGATCGATTTTGTATCGACCATGTTCAATCATAAGTTTGTGATTACTTATTTTAAATTTAACAAAATTCTGTCGTTCGTCATAATGTCTTAGCTGGTAGAGATAATCAGATGTAGAATATTCATCTTTAAAAGTTTTATAAAATTCTAGTTTTTTTGAATTTTCGAGGCTGTGCCGCCAAAAAGATAGATATTTCTCTCTCATTTCTGTGGTATATCGTCTAATTTTATCATTATCTAGAGATTCAGCATCTAAACTGGTTAGATTGTATTGTTCAAGCATGTTTATGAAATTGGAAAAATATCCGGAATTATTCATAGAATGTAGATTCTTTGACATAAGGAAAGACTGTTTGACTATAGAGTCATTATCTTTGTTGTTGAGGTAAACAAAATATTTCATAATTTTCTGATTTATCGGGATAAGCAGCGGCAGTCTATCAAGTTCAGCTCTGCAGGCTATGTTAGAGGCCTTATTGTTAACCTCTGAGTAACGTTTACAGAATTTGAGGTGGATTTTTTCTATTGGGGAGCTATCCCATTTTTTAAAATCTTGCTTGGTGTACATTCCCCATACCTCGCTGTTGTAACTCAAGATTGGGAATACCATGGTGTCAAAAATTTGGGATGCAGTATTAGGATTAAGTTTGTTAAGAATTGTCCGCTTCAGAATACTAGAAAACGCGTGAAGGGCCTTTTCTTTTAAGTGTTCGAGTGCAAGTGTAAAGTTTCCCGTTGGAGTTAAACGTGTACCTAAATAAGTGTATTCTTGGACAATTTCAATTGACTCACTGCCTATGTTGAATTTGATGTCAATAGATTTTTTTGGGCGTTTGTGGAATATCATAATTTTTGTTTTCTTCGGATTAATTTTTAGCTTCCATTTGTCACAATACAAAGAAAGCGCATTTAAACAGTTCTGTAATCCAGTTTTCGATCTTGATAGAATAACTAAATCATCTGCGTAGAAAAGTGAATTTATTTTTTTCCCATTTGGGAGAACAAATGGGTCAGATAAGGTGTCTTCGAATAAAAGTGGTAGATTGTTTAAATAGAGGTTAAATAAAAGAGGGCTTAAAATACAGCCTTGACGTACACCTCTGGAATATGAAAAGGCTCTGTTTTGTTTTCACCGATTTTGATGGAACATGTCGAGTTGCAATAAAGACTTTTCATGAGGTTGTACAAGTTTCCTCCTATATTCGTTTTTAGCAGCTTATAAAACAATCCTTCGTGCCAAACAGAGTCAAACGCTTTGCGAAAATCTACGAAACAAGCGTAGACTTTTTCCTTGTGATAATGCACATATTTATCTATTAGGGTCCTTAGAGTGAAAACATGGTCTGCAGTGCGGTTTTCAGGCAAAAAGCCAATTTGGGAATTATGTAATATCTTATTTTCCTCAAAATACAAGTGAAGTCTTCGATTTAAAATAGAACAGTAGTAGTAGTAGCAGCAGCAGCAGCACAGCAGCAGCAGCAGCAGCAGCAGCGTAGTAGTAGTAGTAGTAGTAGTAGTAGTAGTAGTAGTAGTAGTAGTAGTAGTAGTAGTAGTAGTAGTAGTAGTAGTAGTAGTAGTAGTAGTAGTAGTAGTAGTAGTAGTAGTAGTAGTAGTAGTAGTAGTAGTAGTAGTAGTAGTAGTAGTAGTAGTAGTAGTAGTAGTAGTAGTAGTAGTAGTAGTAGTAGTAGTAGTAGTAGTAGTCAGGACCAAGGGTATCAACAGGAGAAGGCATGACATGACGTGCATTTTGCTGATTACTTTTTTTCTCTCTTTATTCTTTTTCCCAGATCTTACCTATGTCATCGATGAAGCCTTCTAATGGTTAAAAGCACTGGGGTCGAGAACAGGACTCCAGGAGATAAACTAAACTGCGAGTTGCGAGTTAGCGAGCTTGCAAGTTGTGAGATCGTCATTTGTCTTTGGCGAGCAGATTAATTATTTGCTGAAGCCGAAGGTGATCTGCGAGATACTGACAAATCACGATATTTTGCGGTAACCGTATCGAGTTCAATAATTGTTTATCATTCCGTCACCGAGTTTAGATTGTTTTTAATGAATATCTGCCATTTTGACATTTCCACGGAAGAGTGATCGCAAGAAGGAAAAAACCATGAGCAGATCATTATTTGTAGGCAGTTATTTACAGGTTAAGTGGTGGGCTTTCGGCCAATGAAAAGGAAAAATAAAAGGCAGTCTGTGACTGCATGTGGATATTGCTTTAGTTTGGGCTGGAACCCCGTGCTGCACGCTCATCAGGCACACGATCAAAAAACTGTGAGGCAAGGCACATCGTAGCCTGCGAAGCGAAGACGTATTTCCGGTCGTCGCTGCTCTCTGTCTTCGGAGGGAGAGAAGCGATGACCTGAAATACGTCTGTGCTTTGCAGGCCGGGGAACATCGTAGACGCATCACAAATGTTTTTATACAACAATTTTCCTCTTATTTTAAGGCTGTTGGTCCAAAGCGCTTCCATTTTCTCTTCAAAATAATTCTGCCGTCGAGATGCATCGCTAAAAGCATTTTTTCCGGTTTTTAAAGCGCGGCCACTATTTCAACCAGACCAAGATAGTGGGCTTCCTGTGCATGTTTACGGACTTACGGACTTACAGACTCACGGACGTACTCACAACGCCATGACATAGTGGCTACGCTCCCTAAAAGGCGGTCAGTAGCCCCAAAAATATGCATCGAAGGATAAAAGGAAATGATCGGCATTTACGCGTGCCATGCAAGGTTATCTATTTCAAACAATTCCTGAACGCCGAAAGCACTAAAATGCATATACATTTTTCGTTTCTAAAAAAAAAAAAATATATATATATATATATATAAATTTTCGAGATTAGGAATGAGATGTCTGATGGCTTGGTGATGAGCTCTTTTTAAGTAATAATGCCACACCCTTTCAGAGGGTAGTGTCAAACCGGATTTAACTTGTTGAGGTTAATTACGCCACACTCATCTCTTACCCAGCTCTTATGTGTCTACAGGTATCAGTTTTACAGTTGAAACCCGTTAATACTGACAGTGAAAGAACGATAGAAAGTGTCCGTATTATAACGGGATATGAGTATTTATTTATTAAGCGGGCAAAGTTATTTGAAACAAAAGTACTCTTGCTATTTGAACAATATACCAAAAAAATAGTGATTAGGTTATTATCAAATTAAACAGCTCTAATTATAACATCTTCAAAGCGGTTCTGCGGTCCGGTCTTTGACCTTGGAAACACTCTAAAGTTCCTCTCTTACGCATGATCAATCAATAACAGTACTTTGCATGACTTTTTTTCTCGGTGGTGAAAATAGAGGCCCTATACTCTTTCTCCTTTAAAACGACAAATTTTCATAACCTAAACGTGGCTGCCAACGAATTTTTACTATTTGTACAAGCAATGCAACCTTTGAAACTTTGATTGTAGACTGTTAAAAATGCTTAAAGGGACACAGTCACCTATTGGGCCAAACTAGCCCGTTCACAGACCCTCTATTTTCTCTTCAAAGTCCGTCGAGCGCGCGTGATGAAATATAACCCGTGAGAGATTTATTGACCGCCAGCGCAAGGAGGTAGGGGTGTGGGAAGAAGAATATTCTTTCTCCCGTTCAGCGATCGTTCTCGCGAGCTCGTTCCCCGATGTTTTTGAAAAGAACGAAAAGAAAAATAAAACAACGTCTCAAAAGTAGGTTGAGTTTGATCGTCCGGGTGAAAGTAGTCCTGAATAGGACTGTTGTTGTTGACAGTGACTGACGTTTCGACAACCTGTGCGGTAGTCATCTTCAGAGTCAAAGTAAGTTGTATCAAGTCAGTTGATGGTATTATACTCTGGTTATTGATCTGATTGGTCAATTACGTCGCGATGTTATTGGTCGTCTGTCAGTTTAAGCCGTGATGTTATTGGCTATGAAGACTCGTAATCAGTAACTGGTGCGTTTCGATCCGTCTATTGTCACAGTTAAACAGTCGTGTATTGTTAGTCAAATTGTCATTCTCTCGTAGTTAGTTTCGCTTGATCTCGTCAATAAGTCGTTTGTACGGCGCTGGTAACTGTTGGCTACGATTCAGTGGCGTTTGTTCTAAGTTAGTAAACCAGCTTTCTAAAGTAAGACGTTGCTAGTAGTCTGTAGAATACGTTATACATGTCGCAGAGTCCCAGTCAATTTGATGTTTTGTCTTTAAATGGTGCTCAGCAATGTGATTGTTGACGTCACCATTCCTCGTCGCTCGTTTGTGTTGTCGGTCAGTCTCGTGCTTAAGTTAGTTCTGCGGGTTTCACCAGTATACAAGAGCAGTATACAAGATCAAATGCTGCGACTGCCAGGCTTCTAACTGTGTCCCTTGTCTGACTAAGTTATTATTACACTCTTTTGTACTGTTCAGTAGTAGTAAATATAAAGCTTAAATATATAATCTAATTTGTTCAAAAGTAGTGTATCTTGGCTACGTAGACCCATTAAGTTAGCACTGCTTTTAATTAGCGAATCCATAAGTTTAATGAGTAGGCCGAGGATATTTGAGGATTCCCTGCGTAAGCGTTATGGCCAAAGTCATACTCGGCATTACCCACATTACCGTCTCCCATTTCAACAAAAGAAGCCCTGTCAGTTTCTGTTATTCCCATTCCCTGATCAGCATACGCACATCTATATCCTCCTCCCCCAATCATCATTACTGATCCATCAGTGCTATAGTGACACCAGAAACCGATCTTGTTGCGGCTTTGGAAATCTCCACGACCACACTCAGCTAGTTCAAAACCCTGTGTTTTCTTGTACTCGCCGCCATATTGAACCCTGCAGCTTCCCAGGCACCTGTCACTGGACCAAACCCTGCCATTTCTGAAGATGCCATAACTTGTGATTTTGGATCGAAAGGTCTGCCCACGCAAACAGTTCCCTGTGGTTTCTAGAAGAGGCGTGTGATAGGGGTCATCACTACGCGTGATCTTGAACTCTGTGCCTTTAGCCAACCAAAACCCGGGTGAGATCATGTCAGCGTTAACTGAAGGATCAATTGTGGCTCCAAATGCAGTCAGACGGTCATACCACCAGTCTCCTTTGTCATTCATCCAGTGTCTGCTGTCTTTATTAGAGAATCGAGCAATCAACATCCAGCCTGAGTGACAGAAGCGCTATTACGAATTGAAAGAAAGGGAGAAACAATATACTGATCTTGTAACGTATTCTCAATACATGCACAGCTATTGATCCCCAAGGAACTAAACCTAGGAGAAGTCCAGGTGACTTTTGTTATCTGCATGCAAAACATTGTACGTATAAACAAACAAATGAATAACGAAACTGCACATATATCCATCAGGCAAATACGTTCCTATTATATTATATGTATCCCTTAATACTCTAAGAACTACTTCAACTCAGTGAGATCCATAAAATGTCTCCTTGAGGACTAATTACAGAAGTTTGTATAAAGAAATCGAAAAGAAAAGCATGTACCTGGACAAATTGGCCTGGTTCTTTACACCCTGAAAATTGGATTAAAAGCACAATAATGTAAGAAACGTTTATATTTATTTTGCAGACTCTTTCTTTGCCGGATTATCATTTTATGATATCTTCAAATCTAAACTAAGCACAAGAAAGCTAATAGCAAACGAAAAATTGACTGCTAGAAAGCGGCCAAATGGCATTTTAGACGCTTATCATGCGGACAATTCAGGTCTGGGAGCCTCCATGCACTAGTGCATACAGTGGCCGAAGCAGAGATCAATCAATCAGTAACATCCTCATGAATGTTCAATGCATCCAAGAGACTATAAAGGGGACAGATAGGGCATCCCCCATATACACCCTATTCCACAGGTAATTCGTCTCGAGTTATTTTTAACACCACAGATCTCAAGGGGGATTAGACAACAGCCAATCACATAGTGCGAATGTGTTCCGCGTGGATGGCCCACGCTGAGAGCCACGCGTCCTTCACGAAATGACGCAGAACAAAATGTGGGAAGACGCGGAGAGCGATTTTGCTATTCCTTTTGTCGACGAAAACGACTACAGCGAGATTTCTGCGAAAGCTGTGTCAGCGAAACGGAAATTAAAAAAAGAATCGCCCTTCCTCTCTTGTATAGAGCTAACAGTAGAGCAGGGAAATCCTTAACACACTGAATATTCTCTCAGGATCATTTATAATTTACAGTTTGAAGGCAATTTCTGGTTTGATGTTTATTTTTTTCAGTCTTTATAGCCATTATTCCTACCCACTTATATACTTTGTCAATTGTAGGCGAACCTTCCTAAAGCTGAATTTCAAGGGACCATATTCAAGCTCAGAAAGAGAAATAAAATTTCGTCGTTGCTTATTTACGTCCTCCATAAAACGCGAAATTAGGCATTTTCACGTCGAAGTCGTGCAAAAACGGGAAAAAAATGAACAAAAAAGTGTTGCACGTGCGAAGTTGTTGTTTTGCTAATTAAACCTATTGTTTTTTTGACGTTCTAGTTGTCGTCCGCGTCGTTGGATCTTAAACTCCTTAAATTGTACAAACGACCGGTTTCAATAGACCGGCGAAATTTCTCATTTTATTAAAGCACTGAGGTTACGACAACTTCGAGTTAAACTGTTTTCACGCCGTTGTCAAAGAGTCCAGCGATTCCTTTTTCCCAGGTGAGCGCCGACTCATTTCGCTTCAATATTCAGGAATGCTCTCGATCTTTTTACGCTTTCATTGCCTCTCGCCCGACATGTTTTGCACGGCGTTTGGTCATGCGAAACCTCCACGAAACATCCACGCCTCGCGCGAGGTAACTTTATCCCGATTCCAAAAATAACTCGAGACGAATTACCTATGGAATAGGCTGGATATGGGGGATGCCCTCTTTGTCCCCTTTATAGTCTCTTGATGCACCTAAGGAAGTGGACAACTGTTTAAATTAATTTGGATATTTTTCTGCTTAGTTTGCGTAACCTAACTACCTATAGTAAGATCACTCTCTTTTTTTTCACTTTAGAGACAAATAGTTTCTCCGTAAAAGTTTATTTTTTTTGACTTTTTTTACAAGAGATAAAGAAAGACATTACACCTCTGAAAGCCCCTTTTTTAAAACTGTTTCGTTTTTCTTTTAAGGCACACTAACTGATATTTATTTTCTAACTGATATTTTCGCTTGATTCCGCTTATAAAGTGTAGGCAAGGGGATTGTTTGGGCTGAATATTTGGTCCATTTTCTTCTTTTCTTTTTCTTCCTCTTTCTTTTGACCACTTTCGATTGTTCACGTCCCTTAAACGCTGGCTTATCCCCGTCCCCTCCTGCCAACCCGCCCCTGGGACCGTGCTAGCCAAAATGTTTCGTTCGCTGTCCATGTTGATTAGAAAAAAAAAGTATTCTGAAATAACCTGTAAAAAATACTTCAGTAGTTGCCTCTGCGAATCCAAACTGGTTGGTTGCACGGCAAGTGTATTTCCCAGCACTTTCTCGAGTCATGTTGCTTAAGGAGAGGCATCCATTCCGCTGAGAAGACGGTATCGATGTTAGGGCGGTTGGTGAACTTGACCAAACCAGTGAGCCATCTGCCTTACAACAAAGATTCACAGTAGTGCCTTTGTCAGCATACACATAAGGAGGAGGCCTTCTAATTAATACCGGAGGCGCTGAAGGAAAATTAAAATAGTCGCAAGTTCGTTTAATCATTAGATGCATAGGAGAAAAAATAGGGGAAATAGCCGCCAAAACTGAAAATTTTCGATTTGATTATCTGACTCGTCCCCACTCGTCTCTATTTGGATCACACGCGGAGAAGGGAACGTTAGAGCAGTGACCAAGGAGCACGCATGTGAGAGGTGATGGAAAGAAGGAAAACCAAAGGGAGAGATTCCCGGCCTCTTAACCTTATTTCTCCCTCCCCCTCCCATCACTGCTCGCGGTCCCATTGAACGAACTATTCTCGTTAAGTATGTGCGCGGCGGACACGTTGGAGCTATAAACAATAAAAAAGATATTCGCATGACAATGAAATTTTTTCCCCAAAGGAAAACCGTGTTATTGTTTTTCTCCTCCAACATGGCTGCGACGAACATACTCCATAGGGGACGAGTCAGTTTAGTTATAGTGATCCACTCATCGGTTACTGATAAGCCGCGCAGGAAGAAAGCAATCGCCAAAATTAAAAAGATAGCTTCAATGACAAATGATCACTGGATAAAAACTGGGACCGCGACAAAAGCGTTAGAATACAAAAAAAAACCGACATAACAAGACAACCTGAGTTTAAAAAGAAGGAAAGTAAAAATTATACAAAATATTTCACCTTTAATTCCTAAAATAGTGACGGCTCGAAATATTCCATAACTAGTGAAGACTGTACACAAGTATGATCCAGTATGTGGCCTCTGGGCATTAGTGATGTAAAGAACACCATTCTCTGCTGTAATGCCACGATGCAAGTTACCTCCAAGCTTACGCCATGTTATTTTCTTAGACACGTGTCCTTGCACCCAGCAATAAAATGTTGCAGACTTGTTCACAAACACATTCTGAGATTCCGGAAAAACAAGTATCTTAGGAGGGACTACACATTCTCCTTTTGGTCCTTGAATGCCATTAGAGCCCCTGTTTCCTTTGTTCCCTTTTAATCCAGTGGATCCTTTGAAACCTGTTGGGCCCATAGGTCCAGTGTCTCCTCTTGCCCCAGGAGAACCAACAGCTCCTACTTCACCTTTTTCGCCCTTGACTCCCTGCGGTCCCGTAGGCCCTAGTTTTCCCCTGACTCCTTGAGCTCCTGTTAGTCCTTTAGGACCACGAGGGCCAGTGTTTCAGGGTGCTCCTTTTTCTCCCTTGTATCCAGGATACCCAGGAGCACCGGGTACTCCCCGGGGTCCCTGTTGACCTGTCTGACAGATCTTATCAGTGGTGGCGCACGCTTTTGTAATTTTCCTGTCGATTTCCTGGCGGATTTGCTGTAAAGATATAACACCAGGCGTAGGAGCAACATTTCTTCCTTCTCGTCGATCCTGATCTACAGCGCGTTCTACGGTTTCTTGAGAAATGGCTAAAAATGCAAAATAGGAACTGGTTAATTGAAAGCGACAGAAAATTACTCTATTTCTATTATGGTTGTTGCTTTACTATTGGCGCATCTTTGCTTGTTTGCTTGTGCGTGTTCTGGCACACCGTATATTCCGTATATCAAGTTTTGTGTGTAATTTTCGCATAAGTTTTTTTTTCCACTGCGTGGTTAAATTAATGCATGTTTTGCCTTTTCCGGTCTTCTTGTTTCAGCCAGGAAATTTACTATAACTGTATATTTTGTACTTTTCGTTGTGGTCTGTTTTTTTTTGGTTTTGTAAGTTATTTTATCATTCTTAATTTATTATTGTTTATTACCCCTCTATACGCTACATATCATGATCATGGCACTTGGTTCGTTCGACTACAGTTATGTTATTTAGAATGAAGTCTGTTACGGTATTTGGAGACGCTCAGCAAGCTATGATTTGTTTTAGCTTGAGTGAGTCGCAATATAGCGGCCAAAGGTTAGGGCGCGGAAGAACGTCAAGTTCATTGCACCTCGCTGTAACATGACTTTACTCAGTCATCTCAGAGAAATAAACAAGGTCCGGATGGTGAAGAGGCGAACTCAGACCGCCGACAGAAACAAACTCGTCTGCCAAGTGAGACGCAATACAAACGTTCGTTCACGTCGAGTATTGCCCTTTTTAAACTCAGCGCCGAAACATCAACCAGACCAAGGGTTTTTTTACAGTTCTGTTGCTATATAGGGCACCGCAAGCATCAGCTTGGTTTATCGCCAAAGCGCGGATCAAAGCACGCTTTAAGAGGTCCATGCGCGATCCACGCGCGGCGTGATAATAAACCTCGCTTTGCAAGGCCGTTGGCCACAAAGAACCCCAGCAATCCGCGTTACCTCATCCTTTAATGTTCTTAGTAAACATACCTTTAAGAGACATATCGAGTGCTACATTAGAAACTTAACGAGACACATTCCATTCACCCAGCTGAGACTCTTATGATCGACATTCCAATGTATTATAAACGCGGCATACAAACCCGGTTAGGGGGTACTTCCTTATAAGAGGCTAATGGGGATATGCCGCTGGATGGGGTCGCATTTTCACGACTGGATTGACTTTTATGTGGTCGCATTTTCAACGGAGTTAATTTACGGTAAGCAAACGTACCAGAATGTTTGTAGTGTAGGTGAAAAAGAAAGTGTTCTTCAACACACAAATAGAAAGTGACTAAGTTGGGATGGTGAAAATTACATATTTGCCCAAAAGTGACTAAGATGGGGTCTATAATTGGCCACAAAATAGACTACAATGGGGTAGAGGCTCTGAGAGGCCTGCCGCACATACTCAGCGAAAATTAACCCAAGGACTCCCCCTCCCCCCGGGGGGCACGCAAGTCATTGGCCGCAACTAAGAATATGTGTGGTTTTTGCTGCCCACCAAGATAAGACAACTTTCCATGATTAGAGTGATCCTTCAAGAATAAGTAGTCTAACTAGAAATTAATAGAGGTAACATTGAAGCGGCCGAGTTCTATAGAATCTTCGATCTTCTTGATGCGTCTTGTGTCTTAGAAAATCCGGCAAAAACAGTAGCTTTAGACCTACCTATGCCTGCATAATTTCCTACAATTGAATCTCGTGTCGTCGGGTTTCGCTCTGTCTTAAACAATCCCTTCACAATAGTCAGCACTTTCTCCTGCATTTCGTCTTCGATTCGCTGAATGCGTTTTTCAAGTTTTGCTTCCGTCACCTCTGCCCTCCTGCGAACAACTTCAATCCTCACAAAAATTAGTGCAAAGAGAACCAGCGAAAGGACAGAAATCACCAATGAGTCTTTTTTGGGAAATCTGTTCATGCTACTTTTGGCCGAGTTTGATTTGATCTCTCCATCCATTGTGTCTTTTAAATGAAATGATCGCTCACTGCGTTTGGAGCTCATGCAAAGGGCAACCAAGGTCTGACACTGAAATCTATCGTGTGCGCAAAGATATCGGTTCCTAGGGGCTATTTAACTCATATTACAAGGATATCGGTTACTAGTAGATATATCATAAGCACCTAGAGATAAAACTAGCAAGCCAAACGTTCTGAAAACTGGCTTATCTGAAATCAAATAAAACTTTGTGTGTCCTAGACGGAGCTTGAGCTTTTATCATTACTATTTTTATTTTTAAACGTTATTATAATTATTATCATTATCATCGTCATTATCGTTATCATTATCATAATCATTATCAACATTATCATCATTAAAACTGGAAAAGAACTGGTGGAGTTTATGACAGTTCTTTGTGAAATGTGTCCAAGTTTGAGCAACACAATAAATACATATCTGCAGTCTAGCGAGGCGCTATTTACCTATACGGCAGTTAAAATTTAAAAAGCCAAATCAAAAGAGTTAAAATCCTTTATTGATTCTTTGACTGCCGACCTCCTTTTTTTGTTTTCTTTAAATTGTTCCGCTAATTTGTTCCTATCCTTGGGCATCCCAGCTTGTCAAAAATTTACAACACAAACCAACAAACAACCACAAAAAACGCACACATAACACCATTGGCACGCAGCCTATGAAGAGGTCAAGACAGACCACTGGTAGAGTATAGCAGACCCTTAAATTGCCGATTTGGGAGGATTATCTAATCTCTGCATGGGTTGGTCGATTAGTTAAGCCCCATGTAAACGGATGCAACATTGTTGGCCAACAACTTCCAACATTGTTTGATGTAACATGTTGCGTCTGTTTGTACACCCTGTTGCATGTTATTGCTTCGTCTCGGTATATAAAAACGAAATAAATAACTTGGCCGATATCCAGCCATCTTGACCTCACGCTTGGTCAAAAACGCATAGTAAATGTTATTATTTTTTAAAATCAATAGAAAAAGGACTTAGGTCAGTTTTAAAAGTTTGGATAACATTTCTAGAATTACTCTTGATTATCGGATCCTCACTGATCAGATTCTTATGATGCCGCTCAGATAGTGGAAACGGAACATAGAAAAGTCAAAAGGAAAAAAAATGATAGGGGTGGGGAGAGGGGATGAAAGAAGTTCTCTCTCTCCCTCTTCCCTTGCCTTTTCCCCTTGCACACCTGTCATTCAGGATAAGGTTCTAAACTTCTATGGACAGCAAAATTGATCAATCTACAGCATACCGTAAAATTCCGAAAATAATCCCCTGCATGTATCAAAATATAAGCCCCCCAAACTCGTAACGCACAAAAATCCTCTGTTAAATCGCCCCTCCAAATATAAGCCCCCCAGGGGGCTCGTACTTGGAAATTGCCCTCAAATACAAAGTAAAACAAAGCAAAAACGGTAAATTTCCTACCAAGAATAAGGCTAGCTTAATCGATTTTTAAACGCAAATTTCCCTACGTACATAAGCGCCTCCAAGTGTAAGCCCCTCAAAAAGGGGCCTTTGAAAAATATAAGCCCTGGGGCTTATTTTCAGAATTTTACGGTAATTGCACCCAAAACTACAAATCATAATTCAATATCATCTTTTTAAAATTAACTCTTTACTACAGTTGTACAGTAAAAACCCGCATATAAGAACCTAGATTTTTCCAACTTAGCCTAAATAGGTTCTTATAGAAATGGTATTTAGTGGGATTTTAGGCTACTTAGGTTCTTTTAAGAAACTAAGTAGCCTAAAAATAGGTTCTCAATTCGATAGGGGCACTAGCGATCAGCACAGATAACTACTACAAGGCAAAATTATGTGATATGGAATATATTGCTGTGTTAAATAATTATCCAGAATACAGTTTACATGATAACCTTACAGTAAATTTATCTTTCCTAAGTATTAGCATGCATGTCTTTCATGCTCACAGTGTCCATAAAATGCTGTAGTGTTACATTTTGAATCTTACTGACTAACACCTAAACTTAAAATGATTTTTTCTGTATTTTCATCTGTGCCTTCATTTTTGCAAAATAAGAACCTATTTAAAAAACTTTAGCCTAAATAGGTTCTTATGAAAAGGGGGTTTAAAGTGGAAATTTTAGCCTAACAGGTTCTTAAATTCTAGGTTCTTATACACGGGTTTTTACTGTACTAGTGTTCTAAGCTATTAACTGTCAGACACTCTAGCCAGTGCAGCATGTATAATTTAGTGAACTGACATTTAAAGCACACTAATTACATAAAAAAATAATGATAATAAAAAAAATTAAAAAATAATAATAATTAATAATAATTGAATTGAAATCCTACTCTTCAAATCAAAGACGAAACGTTTGCAAAGTGTACTACCACCACAAGAAAATTACCACTACTACTCTTTGGTACAGCTATGCAGTTCAGTTGTTTCTAGAAGTTTAATGAAGCTCTACCATAAAACTTGCTGATTTGTTTCCAGTGGTAAGAAAATAGATTAGCAATGGACCGAGAAGATTGTGGTATACACTGAAACCAATCAAAAGCTGTCAGCTTAGCCTGTGAGCAAGATCTCAATTTAGGGCAAGAAATGAAAATAAATTATTTATCAAACACCGTTGCAAACCCTCACACTTTTCTGCTTTTGCATGATTTCTTGTGACTGTCACCCTAGTGGAGAGCTTGCTCACTGGCTCCTGTCAGCTGATGATGGGCAACTTGTTGATTAACATTTTTGGATTTGTAGTCAAAGACAGTTTGAACATGAACAAATCTTGTCTAAATAAATTCTTATTTTAACTCCTGCAGCCATACATAATATGCATGTACACGTTATATAAAAGTGGACAACAATGCTTTCACTATAATTATGGTCATGATACCTACAAGTGCAATAATAATTAATTTATTGATGTACACCAGGGAAGTGGAAGAATGATCACAGTAGAATGATTAAGAGAATAATTCCAACTGCAATTACAGTGAAAGGAACCCATGTCTTCAGGAATCCTCCCAAACTGCAAGTCAAAATCAACAACAATAATGTTAGAATTTTATAGAAAAAGGTAAAACTTCATTATTAATATTAACGAACAATCGAATTGTTCTTTAGCTGTTTGGCGATCAAGTACATTGTTTGTGTCTTCGAAAAAAAGATGGGATTGATCACAGGTATGCGCTAGCTATTTTTGATCACAGTGGACATGACTTATCAACGAAATACCTGGTGAATTTGCCATAAATCAACATGAAGAAACACAGCTTGACCATATTCCAGGATGATGACCTGTTGTACTGCATCAAATTCAGAGCCATGGCTACATGGGAGTGGCAGTTGTCACAGCAGAGGTTGTGCTGTACAGAGCAAAAGGCAGAATAAATAGGCAGCAATAAACAAACACTCAGAAATTTGACACCATGTATGCACTGTATCATCAGTTGCAATGATAAAGATAATTATCATGTTAATGATGATAATGATATTTTTGTTGATGATGATGATGATGATGGTGATGATGATCTGATGATGATCTGATGATGATGATGTTGATATTGATAAAGACGATAATGATGATGATGATGATGATGATGATACCTACAACATGTATGTCTCTCTTATAAAATTTAAGTATAAATTATTTAAAAACTAACTTTACCATTCTGTGTTTGTATTGCTCAGAAGCAGATGAGATGGCTATGTCCCAGCTGTTTTGCATACTTGACACTTTTGCTGGATTTAAACGCCAGAACCTGTATACCAGGTAATTGCATCAAACATTATTGTTTTATCAACTTCATTTCACATTATCATGTTCATTGTCAGCTGTTTTGTAAACTTCACACTTTTGCTGGACTAAATATATATAGCTTGTTTGCCTCAAGAACAGTCACTTGCTTCCATTATCTGTTGCAAGGTCACATGATATAACAATAACTAGGGTATCTAAAAGATAGTAACGCTGCAGTACATTCTGTTGATACTGCCATTAGTTAGGCAGTGGGACTTAAAAGAATCGAAAATGACATTGAATGTCCTATTTACATGTTGGAAAGTACGTACTAGAATAATTACTATCAGTCTATATAAAGAACTTGTGGGAACGTTGTTTAAAAAATGATCAAGTGGTTATCAACTCTGGTTTTCCCACAGTAAATTGTAGGAAATGATAGAAATTCAGATTGTTTATCCATATATTTAATATAGGGTGTACTATCTTTTCTCTGGAAACATGATACTTTTCTTGCTGTTTATTGCACTTTATTAAGTAACAGTTATTTAGCTATATATTTATAGAAAACAACAACACAAAAAACAGAAAAAAAAAAGAAAGAAGGAAAAAAAGAGTTCGGTAGGACCCGAACCTGGCACCATCGGCTTGACTCGACTACATTTCACCACTACACTACAGAGACTGATTACGCAATTTTGGGAAAAGTCTTTAATTTAATTCCTTTTCCGTGAAACTTCTGCCGGCAAGATGATCGCCAGCCGCATTAATCGAGCAAAAAAAGCAATGTAAACGCATATTCCAATCCATGGCAATGAATGAATGAAAGAACATAATTATGCTTTTCAAAACGCCGATACACGTCCTCGTCTGCAACGTAGGACACAAAACATATGTTTTGTTATCTCGATTTCCGCTGTTATGTTGAAGCGAATGGTCAAAATCACATCCATTTTCGGCTCATACAGGTTCTTAAGAATAGCATGGCACGACATTTTCTCACTTTCACATCACATTCTAGCAAGCTGGAATTTGTATATCCCCCGTGTTGCGGAGTCGAAGAGCAAATACTCATCTTCTCGTCAGGTTTAACACCTGGACGAGTCAAAGGCTCTTGAATTGAAATCCAATCCCCAAGTTAACCATCATACTCATCTGAAAGACTCCTGCGTGTCTTAAATTTGGTAAGACCATCTAGAAAATTTGCTACAAAGAAAACTCTGAGTCTGGGCAGCGAACGATGCAAAGTTCCCAGTGTTTTTATTTGACTTGTTCGTGGTGCAATGCACTCTGGTTAAATGCAATGCATTGTGGTAAAAAGTGTGGTTAAATGCAATGCATTGTGGTAAAAAGTGATGAATTCGAGAATTCGTCGCCCCTTATATTATTTCCCTTAAATCCTGATTATGTTGCTGCTCGCTCCCTACGGTCGCTCCGCAGCAATAATACTGCTGTAACCTCTGTTGACAATAATAAAAATTGATGAATAAATATTCTTGCTTCTTTTATCAACCAACTGCTGACAGCAAACTCAAGTTTGCTTTCCACTGTTCAAATAGTGAAGATAATTCATAATAACTAATGCACGAAAGAAGGGTTGCCTTACTTTGTAGGTTTTCCAAAGGCCATATCATCTTCCTACAGAGGAGGAAATACAGAATATTCATCAATTTGTGTTGCTGTTGTCCTTTATTGTAGTTTTTCATTTTTTGGCTTCTGTTGAATAACACAGTTCCTATGTCATTCTTTAATACTGGGAAGGAGAGTTTGCAGGGTCTTGAATTCCTCATTTGAACACTTCCCATCTTGCTTCTGTTTGAAAAATCTGACTTTTGTCCTTTCTTTTTCTTAAGTCCTACATGTATGGCGAGGTTATGACTACAACTTGCACGTCATTAGATCAAAATCAGTTTTGGGAGAGGCACAGTTCTTCTGGCAACTGTTAAACTGGAAGCAGAGACACATTCCTATAAATTCCCATACTTCACTAACATTTTTAATATTATTAGACCTATGCATGGAAAATGGTCAATTCACATAGTAAACAAAATAATGCAATGTGGACTGAAAAAATGATAATACAGTCCACTCCCGGTAACTTAACCTTCTAGACAAAGGATCAGTTATCAGGAGTTCAAAGCAAATAAGCAAAAAGATGAGGAGGGAATGTAAGTATCATGCACACTTTACAAGGATGGACATTGAATTTGAACTGCAGTGACGAAAAAAGTGATAACAAAGAATTGACACGGTTGTTTTAAAATAAACTCAGAACTTCATACTCTTGTACAGTGATACACCGTTTTTTTTTCTGACTTGCCATGTGCTTAAAACATTGTTCAAGTTATCGAGGGTAGAATAGAAATAACAAAAACGGAAACAAAAAAGCTGGCGGAATGTTTGAGTTATATAAAATTAGTATACATTTTTTCAAACTTCCTTATTGATGTTTGTTCATTTTTAAACTATTCAACAAAATAATCTATCAAAAAAGGTAGAGATCACGCCCTATGTGTTCTTGTTCATTGTTCTTGCATTACCTATACTAGAGGGCAACCAACAACACCAAACAACAAAAGTTGTAACCCTTCTCTTTGCTCTCAAAGATGCAGCTTTATCAGTACAGTAAAAACCTGCATGTAAGAACCTAGCGGTTTAAGAACCTGCTGGCAGAACTTTCCCACTTTCATACCCCAAAATATAAGAACCTTTTTAGCCAAGCAAAATTTATTATGTTCTTATATGTGAGTTATGGGATATTTTCATAAGCAGTTTTAACTAAGAAGTATAACTTTGGTGACTTTGTGAAGTGAAGTGTGTAATTGTTTGTTGTTTGTTTTCTTTGGACCTTGTGTTCCTTAAAGTTCAGCCATTTGCATTTTTTGCTTATTCCATTTAATATTTTATTTTGTATGCAAATATTTCTGAAAAGATACTTTGTTTCTGGTGTATATAATTGTTTAGTTACTCTTGCACAAGGCTCATGACAAGACAGTTATAAATAAATGCTGTATCATAAAGGACTAAACCTATTTTTTCTGCTTGTACAGGAATGGTTTCTACTGAAAACTTAAGAACTTATTAAGAACATGCTTTAGCCTAAATTGCCAATAACTACCCCCAAATATAAGAACCTGTTTTGCCAAACTTGGAAAAATGTAGGTTCTTACATGCGTGTTTTTACTGTACCACTCTTTGACTCAAAGGTCCATCTATCACATTCAGCAATGGAACCGATAAATTGTCGCCCAACTTCGCCACTTCAATCTTAAGGTTTATGACTTGAACAAGTGGTGAGTATTGGACATGAAGGTTAAGTTCATAATAGCAGACAAAAGAAATGCACACAAGCTACCAGTTCCTTAACTCGATGATAAACAAGATGGCTGACGAAGACGATGTCTAGTGCTTATGCTTGTGCTCATGTCGACCCCGTTCTCACTAGTCAAAGCTACCACATAAGCATACGCATAAGCACTAGAAGAACGTTTATGCGCTAGCGAAAACGAGGCTTAAGCTGATATACATGTCATGATCGGATGAAGGTACGGTGGGATCGAGGATCCTTACCGAAACATAGAAAGGACCAGCGAAGTCTCTGATCACTCCTGAGGACATTGCAATTCCCATATGACCAATAAAAGGAAAAAGCCATCTACAAACAAGATTAACATAAATGGTAAGGATATCATTTCAACTGAAAAATTTCAATCCGAATGACAGCTTTAATAACTACTACTCACGTCAATACAGGGATTGGTGTCCACACAATGCAATAAGGATATCGGCTCCTCGGCACATCAATTCTTGGGTAGCTCTCCTCATGATCCATGGTATTTTCGTCAAGTTTATCGTCCATCGCGAGAAAACATAGCGAGGATCTTTTCTTAAATATGCACAACTACATCGCCATTTTGCTTTTCACTTAATTGATGGCTGTCATGACGTATAAAACGAAATTTGGTGCAACCGCTAGAATGAATTTGGGGCTGATTTCTGGCTCCTTAGTTACATTGCCTGCTTTCTGGTAACACTGTTTGGGATAAGTTAGTGGAAAATGATTTGTTTCAAATGTAACGTGTTGAAAGAAGATGCTTATATATCCAGGACAAAGATAGAAATGCAGAAAAAAGGAACATGCCCACTGGTTGCAGGTAACTCGCAGCACTCTTTGGTATATCCACCTGTTCAAACCTAATGGGCGCTTGTTATTTTTCGTATTCCCTGTAAACTGCAGTTGAAGCTTCTGGTTTTCGAACGCCTCATATAGAATGATCAGATATTCTAAAGAAAGTTTAACTTACCAGGAAGCTAATATTCATTTTAATAAACCTCTTGGGGCTTGACCAATTTGACTTCTTGAAAACATTGTATCATGATGCAATGACTGTTTCCTGACAGCTAGTGTGGGGTTTAACGTCATTACGATCAAATCTAAATATTCCTCTAAGATGTAAATTGAATTAGTTCCCCATCAGCAATTGAGCAAATTTCAGTGCCTGTTATTAGCCTGCAGTACGGCTTCTGACCTTAATTACAGAAGAAAGTTCACGGTCACGTAGGGTGAATAGCAGAGATAGGCAACCTTGTCTATAACCCATCCAAAACAATATTTTAGCAACCCAACCCTCGCCAGTACAAGATCTCATCCCTTCCTTTTTGAAGCCAGAGGACTGGGTTGAAATCAACTCCAACCTTAAGGAGATTTGGGACATTGTGAAGAATAGCTCCCCCGAAAAACTATCGGGTGACTGACTTACATCCTTTTTGTTTATCACTGTCGGTAGACTGTCAGTAGACCATATTGTTCGACACACTTCTAGGGTAGCTGTTATTCACTTTTACCAGAGATTTAGTAATTGACTCAGCTTCCAATTTTTATGAGCCAATGTTAAAACCTGCCCTCCCCAGTTTCACATTACATTTACTCTATATCTCTCCTACTCTCCCATCCCTAACATTCTATGGGCCACCCTCCTCTGAACTTTGCGAGGTTCTGCAAAACCAGTATTTCTAGTTGTGATGGTATTTAGCTATTTTTGAGGGTGTGAATTTGTACTTTTGTAGAAAGCAAATTGAAAGAATCTTAGTGATGGAAGACCAGTCATTTGAGCGATTTGTTCCTGAGCATCCCCTCCCCCAGGAAATTCAAAACATGAAGAAAGATGACACTGTTTGTCAGTTTTGCGGAGTAAGCTATCTCATTCATAATGAAATGAAGGCTTTGGAGGAACGAGTTAAGGAAGCTGAGAAGCAAATGGAATATTACAAAGGAAGTGTTGAGAGAGAAGAGAAACTCAAGATTAAAGTTGCTAGCATGGAGGAGGAAAGTGACAAATTATCAAGGGCATTACAAGCCAGTGAAGAAAGGTAACAGGGAATGGGTGTACGGGGTACCCAGGGACACAGGGTTCCTAGACACATCTGAGATCCTTGCTGGCAGCGGTCTCTCACTAAGAGAGTGAAATAATAGGAAAGAAAGAGACCTCTGACAGTCTCTGATGTATTCTTTTGTTTAGCCACTGTCCACATTTGTTTTCGAAACAGACTAGGTTTCAAAACCAGTTTTGTTTAATGTGGCATGCACATGCCCTGTTGAGACTTTTAGAGGCAGCATAGATGAGAAAGCATACAGTCATGTAGTTAGGGGAAAATACCCTTGCTTAAGGGTGGTGCACTTGTTATTTGGGTGTCCTGCATTGAGCTCCTGTTACCTGTAATTGACTGACCACACTTGCTAAAAATTATATTTCTGTAAGCCCAGTTATATCTCTAGATCGGTTGGAAACGTTCCTATAAAAGTGATGATTTAAAATTTATGAGTGGGTGCCTCTAATAAATTTTAGATCCTAGGTTCAGATCCTGCTTTGGCCACAAGTAAGCTGAAATTTTATATTCATAACAAGTTTCAATTCAAACAGTTCATAAAAATTAATTGGCATTAGCCACATTAGAAAGGAGAAAGGAACTGGAGCCAACAAAACGAGTTCTGGACTTGCTATTGGGATCATTAATGGGGATATGCCAGACAGCTATTCAGGGCTTCTGATAAATTATTTCCCATGGCCGTGGAACTGTGAAATTCTGGGTACCCATGAAATCCCGCGAAATTCACAAAACACACAAAATACCATGAAATTTGCTAGAGGTCTTTTCAAATACATGTTGATACAACATATTTGAGACTCATCTTGGTTACTGGGGCTGTAAACGTGCAAATTTATCTTGAAACTTCATCACCACAATGAGCAAACATTACATAATTCCAAAACTACCAGGCATAAATTAATGTGGCTAATTGCTCAGGCTCCCGTCCTTTGTTGTTAAAATAGTGAATGATTATCTCTGTTACAAAAAACATTAAACAAGCTAATCAAATCAGCGCAAAATTGATCAATTTATAGTGAAATTTGCCCAGAAAATTCCCACAAAATTAACGGTTTGTTATTGATTATTTTTTGGCAAAGTTAGCGCCGAAAATTTCCTGGAAATGAAATCCTTCGGCTTTTCCACGAATCTGTGTCGACTTTTTTTTCTGTGACCTTTCAGAAGCATTATTAAAGCTTGCATGTATAAAGAATGAGGTTTTGCCACCTGAAACTATATTCTCTGGCTTACATTTTTTTGTATTCCCAGAACAAAGATATTAGCAGTAGATCTATCTTCAAAGCAAGAACAGATTAAACATCTTGAACAACAGAAAAAAGACCTAGAAAATGAACTACAAAGGAAGCAAGACCAAGTAGCAACAGAACAGTTAAAGTTTAGTGATCTTGTTAGGTCATTTTCCAAACTCCATCAAGACCTGAAGACACAGAGGGCAAGTCTTGGCAATATGAAAGTAATTGTACAAGAAAATAACCAAACTGCTTTAGAACACCTCCAACATGCTGTTACAAATGTAGCAGTGTTAAGCAACAACTTTAGTAAAGAAAAGAGTGACTTGGAGAACAAATTAACCAAGGTGGGTGCAACATTCTTTTGATTTGTACATGTATATGTACACTATTGCTTTATGTTGTTATTTTATACCTTGTAAATTAATGTACAAAAATAATGATTTGCAAAATGTAACTTAATTATTTCCATTTCATCGTGACTTGCCAGTTGCTTTTAATGCTACAGTTGACATACACAGTGTGGAGGTACAAATTAAAATTATGTAAATCTTAACAGTTGGTCATTGGACTTGCCCAATTGCAATATTATTTGAAAGCAGGTTCTAAAAACTCCACCAGGGCTTAGACATGATGATGGAACAGTTAAATTTCAAAGGGCTGTCCTTTTTAAAGGTCATCAAAATGTACAACCTGCTGTAGTGATCTGACTTTGAATATTTTTATCGTTTTGATATAAATAGGCGGCTTTTTTGTGTAGTCACTTGGGAGAAGTGTCTGCATTGTATAGAGGTTCATAGTATTAAAATTTAATTTACAACAAGAAGAAAAAAATGTGAATGTTGTGTAACCTTAGAAAACAGCCGCCACTGGTTTTCCCACTAAATGACATCTGAGTAATGACTGTTGAAATTTCATACTGATGACGTGTCACTACCCAGATCTGGGTCGTGCTTCTGATTGGTTGAAGCAAATTTCCCTGGTGGCATGAACACTCAGAAGCACTGCCCAGATCTGTGTAGTGACACAATTCATCAGTGGAATCTCTTTGTACAGTCATTTTTCAGATGTCATTTCATGGAGAAACCAGTGGTCATATGTTGGGAAATGTCAGCTGTTTTCACAGGCTGAATGTTATGTTGCATTTAGCAGTAAACAGTACAGGGTCCCGATTTACAACTGCCCTCCTTAAACATACAGTCAAACCCTGTTAATATGCATGTGGACACTGAGGGCGACGTAGAAAGTGTCCGTATTAATGAGGTGTCTGTATTAAGTAGGTTGAATTAATTAGAGAAAATGTAGGGATGGGCTTTCCCCAGGGATAAAGTAAACTGTCTGTAATAACAAGGTGTCTGTGTTAAGCAGGTGTCCATAAAGTGGGGTTCGCCTGTACTTGAAAACTTGTGCATGCTATTTGTACTGCCCACTTGACAGTCACTCTTTAGTTAATAGAAAATTGCATTTTCCTTTCTTTGCTTATAGCTTGAAAATAAAATGAAAACAAAGCAAGAGCTTTGCAGCAAATCCGAGGCTTTGACCCATGAGCTCAGTGAGAAGTGTACACAGTTAGAAGGAAAAGTTATTGAGCAAGAGAAGGAACTGGCCAAGACGAAAGAAAAGAATAATTCTTGCAATAATGAAATAATGTGTTACAAGGAACTGATCAAGTAAGTCCTATCTTTTTTCAGTGTCCTTATAAACTCATACACTGAAGCATTCTTTAAAGGGTACAGGGTTCGTTCTCATTACATCTTTACCTACGGGCAGCCGGCTTACAAAAAAAATGGCTACTCGATAGGTTTGAGCTATCTACTTTTTGGAAATACACTGTACAGTAAAGTGAGAGAGTGAAAGCTTAAATCTGCTTACAGTACCCAGCTGACAAGCCGCCTACTTTTACATCCAATCTTTCTACTTTAAAACTTAATGAAAAAACGGAGAAAAAAAGGAGTAAGAGAGGCCAAAGTAAACAAATCTTGCGTCCGATAATTCCGAAAATCACACTTACTTTGAAAGGGAAAAGAGAGAAAAAATAGAAAAAGAGCAAGGAGGAAGAAAAGAAGAGGCAAAAGCGATCATGATTATACCCTTTGTTTCTTATATATTGGCATTTTTTGGAGATAGTTTTATCAAGCTCTTAAAGGAGCTGTGTCACGAAATTCAGCCAAATAAGGTTATTGCAAAATGCCCGTTAAATAAAAGAAACATAAGAAGAACCACTTAAAACATTAAAGGAAGG